GCATAACAACTTCATTAATTTGTTTAAAGTATGAGTATTTAAACAATTAATAGGTATAATAGTCAATTTATTTATTCCATGTTAAGAAAGTAACAGTTATTTCTTAGAAGGTAGGGGAAATTTTAAAGAGAAGTGATTTAGTCTGATGTGTGAACATATATAACACCCCAAAGGCTTGCAAGAACAGGTTTACTTAAAGAATTAGAAGAGTTCAATTATCCTTGACTTCTAGTGTGTAAGGTGGTAGGTGAGAGACAGAGTGGGTTGATCCAGTAAAAAAGCTTTATTTACCAAACTAGGAAGTTTGGAATTCAAATAGGATATCATCAAAAATACTTTATGTATGAAAGAGTCCTATAATGTTTGCATTTTTGAAAGTGGACCCAGGAGTTGGTTTGGGGATATATGGAAAGGAGGAAGTTCAGAAAGGAGGCTACTGCAACAATCCTGGGGAGAAACATGTGGGGCTGGCATAGGAGGCAGCTTCAGTTGGGCTTAAGTAAAGAGACAGGATTAAGGACATTCTAATGGGATACCTAATGATTAATTTGATATTCAAGATGAGGAATCAAAAATGGTAATTAGGCTTTTGGTTTGGGAAAGTTGGTGTATGTAGGTTCTAGTCACAGAGATAAGACAAATAGAAGTCCTCTAGTGAGGCTGGAGAAAGGATGGGGATGATGGTCTCAGTGCATAGCTCTGGAGCAACAGCACTTGGGTTCCAATCCTAGATTGCCACTTACTAGCCATGTGACACTGGGAAACTTAATCACTTTGTTTCTCAGTTTCCTTGTGCATAAAGTGGGGATAATTAGAATATTTATCCTATGGGCTGGTCCCGTGGCTCAGGCACTGGGAGCACCAAGGCCATGGGTTTGGATCCTATATAGGGATGGCCGGTGCGCTCATTGGCAGAGCATGGTGCGGACCACACCGTGCCATGGGTTGCGATCCCCTTTCCCGTCAAAAAAAAAAGAAAAGAATATTTATCCTACGGGGTCACTATGAGAATTGAATGAATTCATATATCTCATTACCAATAACTGCAACCTCTTCATAATCTCAATTCCTACCTCAATCAGGTTCATAATCCAACACAATTAATGCTAATTCCAACAACCTTTGACTCTGTGGTAATCCACAATGTATTGTTGCTAACATCAGTTGCTGTACCTCATTCTTCATGTCCTTACTTCCCTCATTTCCAGCTTAACATTCATGGTCTATCCTTATAATCACTGCTTTGCATACATTCTTAACTCCGTGGCTACTCTCTGTTCATCATATATGGCAAAAACACAATCTCATTATGACTGGACTGTGCCTGTTCTCTTCCTGGAGCTTGAATGTAACTGGAGAAATAGGACTGAGTGGGACTAGAGAGATATACCTATCTAAGCTTTCTGGTTTTGTTCTAGATGTATGATTACCAACTAGAGGCGGCTGCTCTTTACTCCTTTGATAATCACACTGCATTCCTTTGATCCATTGAGCTCCCACTTTCCTCGGTGACTGCTGCATAACTTCTTCCCAATCCTCAAACTTCTTACACATTTTATATCATCCTCACTCTCCGCTGATGACTCAGCTTCCAATTTGAGAAAACAGACGTGTTATTTATTTTTTCCATTGTTGTCCCCTCAACACAACAGTTAGAGTGTTATTTTTGAAATATAAATAAGATCATTCCCTCTTTTGGTCAAAATACCTAATGGTTTTCTACTTCATTCAGAGTAAAAGCCAAAGACATTCCAGTAATTTAAATTGCCCCACACAATGTGAAAATCTTAGGGCATTTCTTTGACCTTCTCTTTTACTATCCTTCTCCTAACACACTCAGGGTCAGACGCTAATCTCCTTGATGTCCTTTTCAGGTACATCATGTGTCTCCTGCCTCAGAATTTGTCCTTGTTTGCTGCTTTGCCTGTGAATTTCTGTCCCCAGATAACCACATATGTGACTTCCTCAGCTCTTCCCTCAACTATCTCTTCTGTGAACTCTTTCCTGACTGCTTCTTTTATAATTACAGTCCCAGCATCTCTTCTTTCTCTGCTTTGCATTGAAAATATGACCAGCAGTTTTTATTGTATATATTTAAGGTGTATAAGATCATGTTTTGATATTGATAAATACAATTATGAGAGGCCATTGTTTTGGACTAAGCTCCTATACTAAGCACCAACAGACCAGACCAAACCAAAATGGAGTCACTCAGGCTAAACGCCACATAATCAAACAAAAACGGGCCAGGAAGCAGACCAGTTTTTTCTCAAAAGTAAGAGGTTCCAGTCTATCCGAGTCAGCATAATAAGGAAGTCTTCTCTGCCCTTACAAAAAACTAACGTGAAGTAACCTGTTGTTAACCCATCAGCTTTAATTTCTGTTATTGTGCTTCCTTGTTCTCACCTTACAAAACCTACTGTCTTCTATTGTCCAGTGGGAGGTCTCATTCTACTTTGTAGAATGGAGGCTCCCTCTGTTCATGAATTGCAAATAAAAGTAAATTCAATATATGACTAAATTTGTTGTAACTTCCCTTTTACAATATAGATATTACTGAAATGATTACTACAGTCAAGTAAATTAGCATATCTATCTCCTTACTTAGTTAACTTTGTGTGTATGTGTGATAAGAGCATTTGAAATCCAATCTCTTGGCAAATTTCCAGTATAGAATATAATATTTATTAACTATAGTCATCATGTTGTACGTTAGATCTCCAGATTTACTCACTGCACATAACTACAACCTGTACTCCTTGACCAAGTTCTCCCCATTACTCCCCTCCCCTTGTCCTTGGTAACCACCATTCTATTCTGTTTCTACATATTTTAATACAACCAGAAACTAAATAATTTACTTACTTGTATTATTTATCATCTATATCACCCAATGTCATCCAATGCATATAAAAGCAAAGATTTGCTCTTGCTTTTTTACTGTGTTTTTCCTCCACCTGTAATACTACTTGGCACATGCTAGACACCCAATAAATATTTATTGAATGAACAAATTAATATTTTTAACATAGTGCCTGGTATAGTACATATGCTCAATAAATAAGAACTGTCCTTATTATATTAACTAATAATAATACAGTGGGTAGGTTGCACTTAAAATAATGAGACCTCCAGTTTACAACTCTGTAGGTCTGGGGTTTAGAATAGTTGGATAAGCTGAATATAAATTAAAATGGTAATAATATTAACTAAGTAAAGCAGACCTCATAGGGAAGAATATTAAGATTGGAAAGCTATGTCCTATGAGGGTTGAACACAAGGTTGTACCAATACAGGGCGTGTTGCCATGGTAAACTCAGGAAAGATACCAAAAGGAGTATCCAGAGAAACAGAAAAAGGACCAGGAGAGTGTGGTCTAATGGCAGTGAACGAAAGGGAGACTTTTGTGAAGGATGAAATGATCAATAGCTGTCAAATACTTGAGAGTAGATAGTACCATGGAAACAGTAAATGGCAGATGTTGAGATATAAATCGTGATTAAAATGATAGGAGTATTTAATGATTGAAAATAAATCTTTAGAATCAAAAGTGTCTAAAAATAGCAATCAAAGGGTTTGCAAGATCGTGAGAAGACAAGAATATTTATGTAACACCTGTTCTTTGGATTCTCTCAAAGAAAGAATTGATAGAACAATAAAAATAATCCACCTTAAGTTCCACTTTATGTGAACAGAGGTTGACATAAGTGGGTCAAGGAAGTACGGTCTTCCACGGGCAGTTGGATTGTAAGACGACATAACAGATTTCTTCTCAGAGTTAAAATGAGATCAAGAATGCATCTAAACCAGTAAAATTACTATACGTAAAAAAAAAAATGTAAAAATTCTAGAAATCTTTAAGAATCTTCTCCTTTAAGGTATCATTTTGAAAGAATAAAAATGACACCAAATTAACCTAAAATGTAAAGTATTTTTATATGGCTCTCATTATTTCTAATTATTCTTATTTACTATAGGATACCTAATAAATCTTACATGAGGAAAGGATATTTAAAATCAGTTCTTGCTATCCTCAGCAATATGGAGGTATTTTCTTTTCCTCTACTTTTTGACAGTTTGAGAAATTAAAGTGTTTTTAATAATTTTTTTAAATAAAAGCATGTAAGGTACATTCAGTATTTTACAGATAATTACAAAATGAATCATAAGTGGGTGCAAATTGAGTAATTTGATTAATTTCTAGGTTGACCTTTAGAAAAGTATTTGTCTAACATTTCTTAGTTGTTACAATTTTATAATATCAAACTGGAGTTCCAGCCATTTAATTTCCATGTTGTTTGTTTTTAAAAATGAGAAGTGCATCATGAATATAAAATTGTTTTGTAAAATAACTTTCACCTTAGAAACAATTTGTTTTTTGAATATGATTATGAATATTGACTTTGAATACATGCTTTTCTTCCCATCAAGGTTAGTTCTTTGCAGAGTTACTTTACTCATGTATTTTTTTACTTTCATATTTATTGAATTAAGTAATTATTTTGCTGGTAGTTAAATTTATTGTTCAATAAAAAATAGAAACAGCTGATAGCAGTGCATAGCTTTCTTCCAGGCTTGTGTCATCGTTTTAGGTAGCCTCTGACCTAGATGAGAGCCCTTAACTTTGCAGATATATAATGTGCATCCCCAGCAAAATTGCCCATAAGAATAACTTCATTATTCTGGGAAGCTAGATCTATAAAATATGTAAAATGTAGAAGTGTTCTGACTATACAATTTCTGGTAAGTACAGCATGACAAAGTGATAAAACCTGAGTCAGCTTCAGTTAGAGCATACCTTACTAAAAAGTGTATTGTGACATGAAAGAAAAAGAAAATAGAGTGGGCAAAGGTGTTCTGCTCCAAAGTTATGATGTATCCTAGATCTATACAGTTCTGCGTTGATTAATGAAACATTAGCTCTGGAAGCATTTAGTGGTATAGTGTACCAATTAGTCATTGTAACCTGAGCTATAGCAGAATGATAAGGAAAAACTTACCAGTACCACGGGACAGATTGTTGTGGGTGGTAAAATATGGTCCTTCAAAGGTCCACAGTCACATTCAGGTTTTAGATGAGAAGCACATTTATTATGAAGCTTGAAAAGGAGAAAGGGGGATAATATCAAATTCCACATGACAACGGTAAACATGGGGTAGAATATATTTCAACTGAGATACGTAAAATACATTAAAAGAATTACCAGAACAAGTAAACGGGATCATGAAAGGAATGGGATTCACATTCCATTTGCCCTTATATACCTACTTCATATAAACCATGTAACAACTTTCATGACCCAGCCAACATCTTTCCTAATTCTCAGAAACATTTGTATTAAAAATGTACTTAGGCTTTACACCAAAAAAAGCTTAATTTCTTTGAAAAACACAAATTATATCCATTACAGTTCTTCTTTTGCTTATCTTATCTGTTAGCATAATCTTGAAACCACTGTGCACTGTGGATGCTTTTTTTTTTTTTGACCCTCCTGTTTTCTCAAAGTCATTGCAAAGTGCACAGCTCAGTATGGGGCATAATTGATCCCATCATTAGTTTTAACTTTGTAATTCAATATGTAAATGTAACCAGAGACTCATCTCAGTAGGAGCAGGATATAAATAAAAGAAGATGATTATGATTATAGAAATTTATCTTTATATTGTATTTACCAGCTTGGCATTAAATTGGTGTATAATCATATAACGTGCTATTTATTTTTCAATATGTATGAACCCAACATGATATTTTTATCAACCTTGGTCACAAGTTTTAAATTAAGGTGTTTTAACATAGTGTATTAAGTAGTGATGTTTAAATTGAGGTGGTGGTTTTTATTGGAATCACAGAGATTTGATAAAATAATACTTGCTTGAAGGCATAAAGGGATTTCTCCTTCCCTACTCCATATTAATTCGATTTGAAATATTCATACTTTAGAAAAATTAAACATTTTAATAAGACACAATATGTCTTGTTTAAAACAAAAAAAAGAGCCACATCATTTTTCAGTTTTGAACCAAAGTTCCCCCTCTTTAAGCCTTGACTATATTAATTTCCCCACCGACTTACCTTTGTAAGTAGTTAATTAGCAGCTAAGCACAGGAGTCTAATGAGTGCCGATGTACTGTTGGTGATCAAATGTTAAGGGGGTATTTCTGTGGTTGGTCCTAGAATCTAAAACTTTGTCACGCTAACTCCCTGCCTTGGACTTAAGGCTACTTGTACTATAATTAATGCACATTAGGCTGCATTACATGAAATAAAAGTATCTTTACACATTCGTCTGTAATTAGCAGCTCTGCTTCTCAGTGGTATGTAAACTTCTCTTAAAAAAGTGGTTTAGTACCGGTCAGCTGACAAAAAGTTTTTTTTTAAATAAATAAGTAAATAAAAGACCTTTAGAAAAAAAAAATTGTTTAATCTTCATATTAAGCACTACCAATCTTCATCAAGAGGGAAGATGTGTTGAAGATGCAGAAGCCATTGAACGCACACTTGAACTAAATAAACTCACACTCTGATTGAACAAGTGAAACTGCACAGTTTTTAAAAATAAAACTGTTGACTGGTTTAAAATGTATTATTAGTTTATTGGACTTAATCAATTTTTTTAGAATAAACATGGCCCTGGATGTTTTAGAGGTAATTGATTACAAATTGTTGTGGGATAAATTGGGTCTCCCAAAAAGATATGTGGAAGTTCTCATTTCCGGTACCCGTGAATGTGAACTTATTTGAAAATAGAGTCTTTGTAAATGTATTCAAGTTCAGATGTAGTCATACTGGATTGGGCTAGGCCCTAATCTGGTGATTGGTGCCCTTATAAAAAGAGGGCAATACAGACAGAAAGACAGACACAGAGGGGAGAAGACCATGTGAAGACAGAGGCAGAGATTTGAGAGATGCCGCTATAAGCTAAGGAATGCCATAGGTTGCTGGTAACCACCAGAAGCTTGGAATAGGTAGGGAAATATTCTTCCCTAAAGCCGTCACAGGGAGCATGGCCCTGCTGACATTTCAATTTTGGACTTCTAGCCTCCAGAACTATGAGAAAACAAATCTGTATTTTTTAAGCCACTTATATTGTGGCATTTTGTTACAGAAGCCCAAGAAACTAATACACCAAGCACTATGAAAATTGCACTAAAACCAAAGGTAGACTTTGTATCTTAAGGCTATGTTTTACCATGGTTGTTATAGAAAAAAAGCTTTTGTTCTTAGATCTTGTACAACTGTTTCAAAACTGAGAATGCAGACTCTAAGAACCCTTTACAAATACTGAAATGCAAGATAAAATTCCTTGTGCATATATAGCAAGAAAATATTGGATATTTACTCTGGACTACAGTGTCAAGCTCCACTTGTGACTCTGAAGGTCAGAGGGGCAGGGCACTGAGTCTCATGCAGCACTAGCCACAGAAGCATATTCTGAGATCCTCCGCTTCCATCCGAAGTGTTTCCCACAATTTGCAATTGATATGATCAAAGACAACTCACTTCTCTATATAGTTATTTAAGGGTTACAGATGTAAGAAGAGATGGCAAAAATAAAATAAATTTAACAACACCTTTTTGGCATTTAGGCCAGCTTCTCTGGAAACTGAGGACTCAGGTAGAATAATGTGGTTGATGAGCTGACCAGAGTGTGTGTGAGGGGTTAACTCTTCATATTGGGGTTTGAGGATTTCAGGGTATTGGCACTGACAATAAGTCCCATAAAATACTGGTCTCTGCAGAGCTAAATAAAGCCAGTATGTGATTTCCCAGTCTGATCACCACCGTGGCCCATATCCCTGAGTTTTTTCTGGGCAGCTGCAAGATAGTCCTGCAGAAATGTAAGCACATAGCAAGGTCTATAAGGAAGTCGGTAACCATCAGTGACACAGGAACACAGTGCAAGAAAATTCTCCTAACCAAGAAGTCTATATTACCTAATAATATACAAGAATATCTTAGACTATCATTAAGATTAAAATTTGGCAGCTGGCAAATATATTTGGGTGCCCATCAACATCATGACATTGTAGCCAGAAGTGTCAAAGCTGAGGACATCAAGTGAGAAGTACTGATCATTTTCCAAGCTGTGAGTCAGTTCATAGAGCAGGTCTAGTTTATGCACCATATTGCTCAGAGACATATTTGAGGACAAAATATAAGAAGAGAAAATACATATAGTTTCCAGGACCATCAATCAAGCTTAAAAATATACATTATTTTTGCTGTGAACCTAAAACTGCTCTACAAATTAAAGTCTATTTTTTTAAAAAGCAAATGTCAACAAAATAGAAACTATATAACAATATTTAAAAGTCCCCCAAATTTCTTAGGTTACAGGTAATAATACTGTGTTTCCTGATTAGGTGTGATTACACAAAGTGACATTTGTGCAAAATTCATAGAGGTCTCCCCTTAGGATATGTATCCTTTGCTGTATATATATCAATAAAAAGTTAAAAAGGAAAAAAGTGAACATTATCAATAATAACAAATTGCTTAAACTTGTCACAATGACATTTTATGGACAAGCATTAAGAAAAAGACACAGCTGAGCCCTTCTCAGTGTCAATAAGATGATAAAGACAAGCAATTGTCTTAAAGATAACACAGATCCCAAATGAGCAAAAGACTATATATGAAGATCCTCACTAATAACAGAAATAAACTAGATTATTGATGAATCCTGCCTCTTCAGTAAAATAACCAATAGTTCATCCAAGAAAAGAAATTGTTACCTGTGTTTTTTTTTTTAGTTTTTGTTCACAATTATCTTCAATTTTTTTTAAAGATAAGGCTTAGAAATGCTCAGACCATTATTTTTTTTATATGTCCAGAATTCCTCATTCATGTGAGGGGATTCAGCTTCGTATCTAGGAGAGCCATATAATATGAAACAGCTTTTCCTGGAAGTGAGTTAAGCACTTGGAAATAATTTCAGAGTTTACGACAACTTCTAGTAGCACCTAATTTAGAGCCAGGTCTATGTTTATTGGAAAAATCTGTCTTAAGAAAGGAAGAAAAGGAAATTGTGTGTGTGTGTGTGTGTGTGTTTGTGTGTGTGTGTGTGTGTGTGTATGTACATATATGGGGTGATGTTGAGAAAAGAGTGGATATACTGGTCAGAGAAGAAAACAGCAGAATTTAAGAAGTCAAAAGGAGAAAAATTTAAAAAATAAATGTTCATAATAATTTACAGGAAAAAAAAAGAAGAGAAATAAATTGTTCTTCTAAAGAAAAATTTGGTGGCCTGATTTAGAGGAATGTATTTGTTTCTCGATACATTCTATTGACCCTGATATTTTGTAATTTCAGGGTACTTCCTAAATGCTGGCATTTGCTAAAGCATAAATGTGTACTTGGCATTGGATGCCTTTAAACATTACTGTTAGGAGTTTAACATTTTAATAAAAGGAGTATCCCTATAAAATACCAATAGTTAATAATTCACACCAATAAAATAGGCATTCTTTTGTTTAGCCCAAATAAAATGTATCAACCTCCCATCCTGGATGGTCCTGCATGCCCAGGGACAGTCTTCCACAACGAACAACAATTTACAACATGTTCTAAACAGAATGTCAAGGAAATACACTCTCAGCAGAAATGAACAGATACAAGCAGTGGGATCTTAAGGATGGAAGAATGTAAATAAGAGAGAAAGAGAGACCCAAGGAGAATATTTCACCTGGCTCAGAGAATTGAAATATGAAGCACAGAAATCTAGTTGCGTGGTTAGAAGATAATTTTCTACTGTTCTTACACAGGCTCTTCTTGTTTTTATTTCCTACGTGCTTAGATTCTAAAAGGAGATAAAACTTTATTCTACAAGCCTAACTATGTATTTACAAGATGACAAACTAGTATAATGTCAAGTAGCCACAAGTACAAATGAAGGTGAAAATGGATTCCCACCCACTTGTTTTGCTTATGTAAAAATACTTGTTTAAACTTACTCACCTAACTGATGTAGATTTGAGTATTACAGGATGATATTTTAAAACAAAATGTAAATAGGACATATGACATTCAATATTTAACAATATCAAAAATAGTATAGCAGTCATTAAAGTGAACTTATTGAGGACTTCCTCTGAACTC